GAGTTAGCTGCTGATGCTGGGCAATTAGCCACTCACATTGAAAACTGTGGCTCTGGCTTTCTGTCACCTTTGTGAATGCTGTCCCGTTTTCCCACAGGGCCAGGCCAGCTGCAAGCAGGATGGTGCACCCTCCCGCCCTTTTGTCCCATGCTCGGGGTGCACCACATTCACTTGCCACCAGTGCTCTATGTCTGGGTGGCACAGCGACGGCGGAGGAGGCGCTGTGCCTGCTGGTACTGGGTTCACAACAGCACTCTCCACCTTGCAGACAGAACCTGTCTTGATTGGTTTCGCCTAGACGGAGCTGCCATCCAGGCCCTGTGCGAGGAGCTTGGGCCCAGCCTTCCAGGGCTAAGCTCCCACTTCCTGTGCCATCCCCGTCTTGCAGAAAAAACTGCTGTCCCTGAGGTTCCTGGCCACTGGGTCCTTCCAGGATTTTGCCACAGAGGTGCTCAAAGTGTTGCAGACCTCCGCTAGTGACTGTCTACACAGCTCCCTGGATGCCATCCTGATGCTCCTCCAGGACCGTGTCTGTTTCCCCACTGAGGAGGGCAGGGCTGGCATCATTTGGAGTCTTCCCCAGTGTGGTGTGGGCCACTGACTGCACCCACATAGCCCTCATCACTTCCCTGGCTCTCATAATTCCATTCCTTCTGCCATTTATTTAGCTGTTATTTAGCTGTAGTTGGGAGTGTTTTTGTCTTTTGGTTAATTTACAAAATCTTATTTTTCTGGGGGAGTCCCTTAAGAATGTAGAGACCCAAGCCTTGCTGTGGTTAGCCTAGTTTTTGCTACTTTATGATTATCATGGGGACTACCCACTTTACCAATTAGGTATAGTAGTTAACATACCTCTTCATCTGTAGGCATCAAAGTTTGATCATGTTCGTTCTCAACAGCTGGGGAGAAGCCTTTCATATAATGAAACCTCTGGGAATATAATCCTCACTTTCTCTAACCATAGTGCACTTTGAAACAGAGATTTGACAAAATTGACCTACCTGTGGTACTTGCTGTTTGTTTTTTTTTCCCCCCCTGGGGGGGGGGGGGATCTGAACTTGCTAGTTAAACTGGTGCCCTAGAAGAGATGCACAGCTCCTTTCTATGGCAACTGTGGGATCCTAGTAGTATTCACACACACAATTCCAAATATGCCAGTACACTGAATGTCATACATCACAATGCTACTTTTGACTACAATTACCAAAGCACACTGATCTCTTCTCTAAGGTCAAATCCACATGTGTGTTTCTTGCCGGTTTCCTGACATTTTCGCTCCCATCCCCCAACAAACTGTCTACATTTGCATCCGGTTTCATGCTGGCAGTGCGCCAATATAAAAATCAATGTCTGCATATGTTTCCCGCCCTCCGGTAGTGACTCCATTGTCATAGCCGTTCCGCACTGGTTTAAATAAATGCTGTTCTTTGCTGCTCTAACCCCTCCTTTCTGGCTTCGTTGCGCTGTCAACCTAATGCAGACATTTTTGAGTCATTGCTCCGCTAATTCTTAAATAATTCCAACTGGTGGCGCACAATAAACTAGGTGGTAACTTGTGGTTTGATTCCAACAGTACTCTTTTCTCTTTTTACTAGCTAGCCCCCCAAATAATTTTTAAAATTTGTATCTTGTTTTGAAGCTTTTATTTCTTGACCCCTTTTACAGATCGACTGAACATTTTTAAGTTCACTACTGGTGCAGTAAGAGCTTGCATTTATCTCAAAACATTTAAATCCAGAAATGGCGTTTCTAATTTTATTCCCACTTGGCTCTATTTCCTCATAGCTATGTACCAGCCCTCAAATCTTATCTTCCAAAATTTACTTTGAGCTGTAGGAGGCACACTCAGCAGTAAAAACACAAGACCTTGTGTTTAGCTCAGTGGGTAAATTCCTGCCCTGTAAATCAGGGCATTGTTGGTTTGATTCCTGCATGGCTGCTTTTACTCATCCCTATGTACCAGTCCTCAAAATTTTTTATTTGAAATGTATCTGTTTATTAAATTTATAATCACTGACTATGACTGGGCAATGCACAGTCAGCAGCTTTTTCGAGTAAGAGCTTGCATTTGGCTCAAAAAGTTGCAATTCCTGCCTTGTAGTCATGGTGTTTCTCATTTTTTAAGTTCACAGGGGTAAGAATGACAGACCCTAGGAGTAACAGAAGTGTTCTGGGAATGGAATGACAGGCTCCAGAGTGGAATGACAGCCCCTGGGGGTAGCAGGAGTGTTCTGGAACTGGAATAAGAGACCACGGAGTGGAATGGCAGCCCCTGGGGGTAGCAGGAGCGTTCAGGGACTGGAATGAGAGACCACAGAGTGGAATGATAGCCCCTAGGGGTAGCAGGAGTGTTCTGGAACTGGAATGAGAGACCATGGAGTGGAATGACAGCCCCTGGGGGTAGCAGCAGTGTTCTGGGAATGGAATAACAGACCCCAGAGTGGAATGACAGCCCCTCGGGGTAGCAGTTGTGTTCTGGGAGTAGAATGACAGGCCCAATGGTGGAATGACATCCCGTTGGAGTAAGAGGAGTGTTCTGGAACTGGAATGACAGGCCTATCATTACAGTCCCAGGACACATCTCCTACCCCCTGGGCTGTCATTCCACTCTGGAGCCGGTTATTCCAGTCCCAGAATACTTCTGCTAACCCCAGGGGCTACCATTCCACTGTGGGGCTTCTCATTCCAGTCCCAGAACACTCCAGTAACCCCCAGGGGCCATCTAGTGATGAACAATAAATTGTGATTACATAACTGAAAAAAAAGACAAAGTGGACAGCTCCTCTAATGCTAACTTGAAAGCAGAGGTGCAGCAGTTCTAAACCACATGGGATAACAGTGGTACCAAGCTGATTCTAAAATGCATGTGTAGATTCAGCCTAAGCCCCATTGGCTACAGGAGTTTGGGATTACAGCCCAGATCTGGTAGCTAAGACTTTTACCACAATAAGCAATTTTAGAAAGAGCATAATACTATAATGAAATATTCTTAATCCTTAACATTTTTAAATGATGCTTTGATTCTGCATTCAGGTCTTGTTTGCTAGAGCCTGTTGCTGTGGGGAAGATTGAAATATCACAATTTAAACCTTATGACCTCTATTTTCCAAACAAATAAGCAGCTTTTCCTGGGCGAAGAAGCATAAGAGGTACTTATGCATGTCTCTGACCTGTTCTGTGTCCCTTGTTGACTTTTGAGCAATACACTCTAAGCTCTACAGTCAGCAAAAAGAGAAAGGGGAAGGGCAGACTCCACTGAAGTACTACTGGCATAATTGATTATTTTTTCACTTCCAGCGGATTCCTATTGTGTCATGTGTTTCCCCCTGAGGAGGTCAATTCACATTAAGTTCAATATGACATCGATGCACGGGAGACCAAGGATGCAGGACCAAAGAGTGACAATTTAACTGGGGTTTAGTGATTAGATATGTAAGGTGTACTCTCTGTAATATCACAGCAAAGAGCCAGCTATCTAGCAGTGACACAAACAAGATATTCTAAATGAATTGCTTGTAATGAACACCCATCAAACTCAGAGGAAGATGAGTGTCTTTTGAATATTACCGCCATAATACGGGAGATGTCATTCTGTGGCTGAGTTCAGCCTGGCAGTTTGCCCCAAGATAGGCACGTGCCAGAAACGTTTCACAAACGGATTAAAGGGGCTGTTCACACAGGCACATCTGTCAGGCGTTCTTCAGCCGTACTCAGCCCGTCTTGTAGCGCTTGCCTCCTGAGTTTAAAAAGTACCTGGTGAAAGTGGTAGCAAACCCTGGAGAGCGAAGTCATCCCAAAGTCATCCCGCACCAACAAAGTGTGAACACCGAAAGTCGCAATTGCTTGTGCGCATAAGCGCATATCTCCGGATTACCAAAAAGAAAGCTGTGCCTTACAGCCGCGCCTTCGCCAGAGGCAGGCCAACAGTGCGAACGCTCCCTTGCGCCTCCTCCCCGGTATGCTCCCGCATCAGTCAGTGCAGTGTGACTGGGAATACCCAGAACAAGTCCTGGTCTTTTTTGCCACGACTCCCTTGCGCTTCAAACTGCCAGCCTGTCCTTGGCCTATGACAGTGATTTAACATTTAAAGGCCTTTCTCTGTAGCATGGGACCAATTGCAGAGGTTTTTTCTACCCAATCATTGCCCATCTGAGGCTAGGGGCAACAAATGGGTGGTAAGGATCTATAGAATTGGCCCAACCCGTGTGGTAATGTACTTATAAATGTTGCAGCAGTCCCATTAAGTTAATCAAAGAGAAAGTAAGTTCATTTTTGTCCCAGTTTTCCTCCAAGGAAGATATCTCATTCTCCCCTCACAAAACCTTTTTCAAGTAAGTTAGCTAAGATCATGACTTGGCCATAGGCCATTCAGTGAGCACAGTAGAATGGAGATTTGTACCACGTTTTACCAGATGGCTAATTAACTGCTACACCAAGCTTAAGATCAATGTGACATTGAACCTAAGAATGCGGAATCATGGGTAAGCTTCCATGCCACTGCTGTGACATCCAAATGTCATCTTGCTTTTGAATAACATTTTGGATTTCAGCATAAAGTTTGAAAGACGCCCTATCTCTTGATCCCTGAAGTAGTGATGCATTTGTATGGATGCGACTCTGCATTTGGTATTTGTCCCTTTAGGGTTGAAAACCATCACATATTACTCTCAGAAGATGCTCTGCCCACACAAAAAAGTTCACACTTTTCTATATGGGTTTCTTGGCAAAAAGAGCTACCTATCAGCATGATTTTTCCTCCAATTAGATATGAGGGAAGAAAACATAGGTGAGCAGAATTACAAGTGATCTTGAAGAACAGACAATATAAGTACAGTGAGCTGGAATAACAGTTGCTATAAAGATATATACAGCCTAAATGGTTATATTTTGTAAACTTTTGTTCCAAGACCTGGCTTGATCTATGTTTATGCTGTGGAATAGGTACCATTGGCAAAAATGTATAGAAAGGCTTAGAAGGTGCCAACAGAAGATGCTCGTACCTTCTAATATTCTGTTTCAAGCTTTGATTAGATGTCACGTTATTGAATCTTAATAAGTATTGTGATACAGCTGGACTTGCAGCAGCAAAGGATTGTTTATTTGGCCAAAGAATCTGGAAAGAGAACAGAGAGATATTAAAATACCCTTAATAACAATGTTATGATCACATAAAGTAGATAAATTGTTGGCCAATCCTGATAATACTGAGAAGGTGTAAACTGTAATAAAATAAACCCAGATCTTCCCCTATTACATCAGCAAAGAAGTCACAGATCCTAAAATACCAAGTAGGACCTAACTTGCAATCAAGGAGTGGTGACTAAGATGAAGGGAATATGGCTGCAGTCACATGCACCAGTTGAAGCAGAGAGGAAGTGAGACTGTTCTCTCCGGAGGAATTTGACACGCAGTTGCGAGATTGTTGGAAAATAGTCAAAAATAATTACTCAGAGTATCGATGGATCTTGCTTCACTGGAGAGGAGAGATTTTCTTTGTGTTAAAAAACTTTATTTCTAAGGGTAAAGGTACACAGGAAACCTAACAAAATAGCAAACATATCTAAGAGCTACATTTCTACATCTTACTGCTAGGAAAGCATGGTTACACACAACACCTAACAATGGAGAATCCTCCTCCTTCTTGATCCCTAGAAAGGAAGTCACCTGAAACTAGTAACCAATCAGTATTACAATACAAGCCACTTTTCCCGGGATTTCTCCCCATTGGCTCTGTGCCAGTTTTCTGTTCCAGGTCAGTCTAAACAATAGCATTGAAAGGTAAACAAGTTAACCCTACAATGGCTGGAATCTGAGACCTTGCAACTCATAAATTTCCAACAGAGATCACACAGCCCTTTGAAGCCTTGGGTGCAGCCCGTCACGGTGTGATCAGACACAACTGTGGGTGAGTCTTTTCTTGCCATTTGTTTCCCTTGCACATAAATGAGGAATCGCACCTCTGCACTGAGGGCCCCCTGTGGAGTATGCGATGATGCACATACTGTGTGTGGGGGGAACACAGCATGGAGTCGAGATGGTCTGATCAGACAATCCCGACAGCATGAGAGCGTGCTTGAGTGATCAGACAGGGGAAAGTCCACACGTGGCCTGCCTTATCCGGATAACACCGGACGTTCCCTGGTGTATTTTAAATCCACTACTATGGTGGAGCAGCTCGGGTTGCCGACAACTGTGGGACACTTCCCAGATGTTGCATTCGCACCCATGTTGGATCTAAAGGAGTGTGTGATCACAGCCTATAACTGCCATTTCTAATATTTTCAAGTGTCAAATTGGCTCCTACCAGCTTTTCCATTCCTCCTAATTGCAGCCCCTTTCCTTAGGGGGCTTTTGTCCACATGGGTCCCATGATACATGGCATAGTCTTTTGTGGTTAAAAGGGATCCATTCTCCCTTTCTCATCACCAGAAAAGCTGGAAGGATAAAACCCCTCATCTTTTAAGTATAGCTAGGCTGCGGTCACACGGAGCATTAGCCACACTACAGAGACGGAAGATAGGCGGATTTTCCGGGCGCAATCACACCGCCACATCTGGGAAGCATAGAGCTCCCGTGGCTCACCTGAGGCTTCCCGCTGAAGATGCAGGGTAAAAAACTAGCACTTCCGTGGTACTAGTTTCCGAAAACCGCGGGGCAAGGGCGGGCGTCTGATCGCGTTTTCGGTGGCATTCGGGGCCCACCCATGTCCCCTCGCAAAAAGGTTTCCCCCCCCCAAGTCTCCATGGGATGCACACAAGCACCCAACGGAGCATGCGCACACTTCAGTTTTTTTTTAAAAAAAACCACACAACCCCGTTTGCTTGCCGCCCCGCTTCTTTGCCTGTGGTGTGATCGGCACCTCCCCCCTAACCACGGGACCTCGAGGGACCTCAACCGGACGTCTGATCCCGCAGCCGCCCGTTATTTTGCCCTGGGGCAAACATCCCCGCTTCCCCCCCCCCCGCATTTTCCAGCCCATGTGATCGGAGCCATAAATTAGAAAAATCAATCAATTCATACTTTCAAACCAAAAGGGAGAGTGAAAACTGGAACCAGAAGATAGTAACCCTACTCATATATCTCTTTTGGAGGACTCCTTAGTGCATTTCCAGCTTTGGAATGAAACCCAATTGGGAGCTGTTAGCTCTTGTGGAGAAATACTTTGTAGCAGCATTTGTTATCACTTAGCTTAAGTTCCCCAATTTTAAAATGGGAATGACAGTACTTCTCCTGACAAAGGTGTCATTCAGTGTTAAGTGAAATGAGGGAAGTTTGTTTTTTAAGCCTCAGGCAAGGTACAAGTAAGCAGCAATGGAAACAGGCATAAATAATACCAACAATACATTTATTGCTACTTGTCAATACAGCAGCCCTGCTGTGAACAGTGTAATCCATATGAGGCAGAAAATGGACATTTCATACTTCTTACATTATCCCCTAGCTCTGTTAAGTTGCTGTAAGGGCCAAAATACATATTACATGTACACGAGCAGGGGTCATTTCCTCCAGGAGCGCACAGGAGCAGAGCTCCGGCAGTAAAGAGCCCAGGGGGCGGGCACATGCAACAAGCCCCACCCCCTGCTCCCAACAGCCCTCAGTCAGAGCAAGAAGCAGCCAGCTAAGTTGCAGAGCTCCCCCAGCCCCCCCAGATAGCAATCCAAAACAGTCCAATGGCACCTTTAAGGCCAAGGTTTATTCAGGTACAAGCTCTCCCTCCTCTGCGAGGACAGATCTGCACATCCCCCCCCCCAATAGCTAGCAATCCAAAACAGTCCAGTGGAGCCTGAGCGGTGGGTGTTGCCTTCTGACACACTTCTGGTGATGCCAGGGGGTTTGGCATATGCAAATAAGTTCTGCTAATGAGTTATGCTAATGAGCTCCTGCACCTCTTTTTCTACGAAATGACCCCTGTTACATGAGTCAGATCATGGGTGCCTAACCCAACTCTCAGTCACATGCTTATGCAGGAACTAACCTTTAAAATCCTCTCAGTCACTTTGTGAGCTCCAATTGCTGCAAAGGGTTCAGTCTTCCCTGCTGGACTGTTTTTGCCAGCAGAAACAGTTGTGGGGGGAGGCCTGTTTGTCCGTTCCTCAGGTGCCCATCCCAGGGCACACAGAGTTTGAAGAAAGGGAAAACAGGCCCACTCCACAGCCCTTTCCACTCGGAAAATTGTGTAGGACAGAAGCCTTAAGCCCCTCTTTTCCCACTTGTAGCAATTGGATTTGTATGGAACTGTTTTTAAAGGTTAGTCCTTGTGTGAACATATGGTTCAGAGTTGGATCTGACACCCATTACCTGACTTGTGTCACACGTAATGTGTATTTTGGCCCTAACATATAACAGAGAAAGCAGACAATAGTACTCCAATGCTAACAAACTTTATCTGGACTTAAGACATAATGATTTCAAAACTTAATTCATATTATATGTGCTAGGGACTGCAACTTCAAATACCATTCTGGTTTCCTCACTTGCATACTAATACTTCCTTTAAACTACCTTAGTTTCTGAGTGGAGAGAACTCTATAAGGTCTTGATGGTAGTGCCAGCATATGCCATGCTGGAAAAATGCCCAACCTTGATCAACACTCACTGAGCAGAAATCTGCCCACTCTGCCTGAATTAGAAATATAGACTTGTTTCAGTTTAAGAAGGTTGTAGTTTGTAAGACTGAGTTTGCTTCTTCTTTTCCTATGTAATATTTTCTTATTTGCTAGAGTTGTATTGTATTGAGCTACTTAAGAAAAAATTGCACATTTTAAACCAGGGCTTTTTTTTGTGATGGTAATCACTTGTACTGAGTACTGGCACCTTTTCTGGGGTTCTCCCAAGTCCTGATCTTCATGCACCAGCCTGCCCCACGCAGCCAGAGAAGTAGAGTGGGACCTCAAGACCAGCCTAGAAGGGATCTACAGAGGGATGGTGAATTGGTAGAATTTGGAACAACCTTGCATGTGAGTACTGGCATTTTTTTTTTTTACAAAAAAGTACTGCTACTTCTTGTTTCTTCTCCCAGTATTTGCAGCTCTCCATTCTCACACACAATGGCCTTTGAATGGAAATATCCCATAAAGATCACAACGAGTGACTGAGCACATTGTATTCTGAAGCAGTGTTTGGCTTGAATTAGCTGAAGTAGAATCTGCCCTTTTCCTGGCGGCTCCCATGTGGCTAGATAATGATTTTGCTATAACTTGTACATGTAATAAAAAGATTGCAGCTAGGAAAGCTATTGGGACTCAGATTAAAGTCACTTTGCAAAAAAGAGTAAAAAAAAAACATACCGCCAGTCACAGAGGAGTCCATCCAATCTAGAGCTCAAAGAGTAGCAATTCAAAGGTCGTTTTATGGAACGTTTTGGCCAACCAGCAGGAAAATCCCCATAAGGAGCAGGTCTGGTGTGAACTGACTGGTAAGTCAAGAGCAGATTCTTCTGTCTGGGCTGCCTCTGAAACAAATCTCCACCACGTAGGATGTGAGATTAAAGAGAATGGCCCACATGTGCTAAAATGAGAGGTGTGGCTGGGACACAGAAGGAAGCAGCAGGGAACCACCTCTTGGCAAGTTGTCACTTCATTTTCTTTTCCTCTTTTAAGACTTGCGGTGCTCTGAACAAGCAGGGCTTTCATTCATGCTGTTGCTTTCATAACAGGTAATGGTATGTTACAGACAACTAACCCTGGTAACCATAGAACAAAAAGTGTCAGGACAATGAAAGGAAACTAAAAGACTGGAATATGAGCTGTGCACTGGCCTAGATTGAGTACTTCTATTTAAAATATGGTTTAGATACTTTATAACTGAGGGGGCCTTTAAGCATTGCTCTCGTTTCTTTTACATGAACAGCTTCCAGGAAACCCAGCCACATCAGCAAGGCCTGAGGATACGGGTCTTATGGAACTGATGCTGCCTCCCAATGGAGTGATGATTCTTTGCTCGGGATCCAAAACAGGTAGCTTTGAATCCTGTAGGAAGATCATTGCAGTGTTATAGACATGTAGGAACCTGCCCCCCCCATACCACCATGGAAAAGGGCTGTTTGTGTTTAAAGGGCCTTCTGGCTCGTTG